CGGCGGCGGCGGGGCCCGGGCGGACCGAGGGGACGCGGGCCGGAGGCGGCGGCGGAGCGGCGGCGGCGCGGAAGGGCGGCTCCCGGAGGAACGCGTGGGGCAACCAGTCGTATGCCGAGCTGATCAGCCAGGCCATCGAGAGCGCGCCCGAGAAGCGGCTGACGCTGGCACAGATCTACGAGTGGATGGTCCGATCCGTACCCTACTTCAAGGACAAGGGGGACAGCAACAGCTCTGCCGGATGGAAGGTGCGCGGGGCCCGGGGCTGCGGGGCCGCTTCGAGATGCTCCTTCTTTTCGCTCCTTCTTTTCGCTCCTTCTTTTCGCTCCTTCTTTTCGCTCTCCCCGCTGGGCCGTTTATGGCCGCGTTCACCTGTTGCTCCTCATCCAGTTCTGTGCCAGTATTGCGGCCCGGTGCTGTGCCTCGCTGTGCTCGCTCCTCGTGTTCTCTGGGCTGTGCTGGAAGGAGCAAAGCTGTCACAGAGGCCGTCGAGGAGCTGCTGAGACATCGGCTGAAGGGTTTTTTAACTCGAGGCTGCAGTTCTTTGTCGCCCCGGTGCGCAGGGCTCCGTGTAAATAAGTTTCATAGCAGGCATTCTTGGCGTTAAGGGCCTCCTTTAAAAGCATGCTCTGTCCGAGAGTCGCTTTGCAGGGACTGAGGACCTCTGCTGGAGTTTGGCAAAGGGAGAACGCATCTTAGAGCTGCAGACCTCTTCCTATCTGCCTGTCTCCTGCTGCTCTGTGCATGGGCAGGTGCTGCATTCAGTTAGAGGCCCGGCTCCACTTCCATCTTCTGCAGGGGGCAGCTGCAGTGCGTGCGCTGTTTGGTCAGGTGAACTCCAGAAGAGGTGATGTGAGAGCTGGGCTGTGAAATAGCCCCACGGGCTGCATGCATATGTACTCCACAGCAGGTGCCCCAGGAGTGGGGGCTGAAGGGCAGCACCGCAATGATGCTGTGCTGCTGTTTGCAGCCTGAACTGCAGTGTGAGCCTGTGGGTTTGGGGCTTCCAGAACTTCAGCTCTGCATTCCTCTCCTGTGTGACTGAGCACCCAGTCAGCGTTGAGATTTAGCTTTGCTTCTATCGGTGCATTGGTGGGGCTGCTTGCAGCTGGCCCAGCTCTGAAGGGGCTCACTGGGCTCACTGAGCAGCTGTGGGAGTCCTGTTGGCTGGAGAGAGGACAGGAGTGGTGGGACAGGTGCAGCTGTCTCAGCCCAGGTTGGCATGGGTTGACACAGAACTTTTTCCCACTGTATTTCTCATGCTTTCTGACAGCTAAGCGTAGTTTAGCTAAATGTGAGTATCGTGCATATTTCTTGGTGTTAAATCACTTCTTTGTGCAGGTTGAACCATCATTAAGCTTCAGTTTGAGGCAGGTTGTTCTTTTCAGTAGGTTTGGGGGCTCATGGCAGAGGGCTCTCCCACCTCAGGCTGTGCACGCTATGCTGCTCCTACTGTTGCACAGATTCGTGTTCTTCTGACAAACAGTTCCTGGAACGGTGTCTGTTCTCTTCAGGAATGTATCTGCATCTGTTTGGCAACAGAGCCTGAGCCTGAAGTTGTGTGTTATTAAATATATCCTAAGATGCTGTGGGGAAGCTGAAGCATTTTGCCCAGCTGGGCGCTGCAGTAGGTAGGCATGGAGCTGGTAGGGCATGGCTGTCCTCTTATCTGAATGTGCAGGGGGACCCTTGGCCTTGGGTTTACTCTGAGTGTGTGTCATTGTGTCATTGTGTGTCATGTTTAGGAAACGTAGTCAGATTTAACATTCAGAAAGATGGAAATGTGGATCTGGGCTCTGCTGCTGTTCTGTAATGACTTTTTCCTCATGATGAAGTTCCTTTGTAGCCCTGCAGCCTGAGGGCTGCTTCGTCCCATCCAAACCGCCACAGAGATGCACATGGGGGGCTCCAGTTACTTCTGCTCAAATTAAGGAATCTTCTTGGTGCAGCTTTTTCAGTGTTGAACTGAAAGAGTTTGGATAAGGGAACCAAAGGTGGAACTGCTACCCAGTGCTGCTGGGATGCTCAATGCCTTCAGCCCCCTGAGCTGTGATGTTCCTGTTGTTTTGGCAGGCAGACTGGTAACGTATTGCGTTGTGCAGTTCTAATAGAGAATTTTAGATGGGAAGTTAAAGAAGTGAACGTGTTTAGAACATTATACACATCTGCTGTAGTTAATATAAAGCCTGTGAACTCGTTGCTTTGGAATGGCTTTGCAGCTGCTTTCCCCCAGCACACAATGGAGGGAAATACAGCTGTTACGGTCTGTGAGGGTGCGACCTCTGAATTCAGGAAAACTCAGTTCTCGAGGAAGGTGCTGTTTGCTGTTCCTGAATTGTGTGAGGGCGCAGACCTGCTGGGTGTGCAGTCTGTCTGCTCCCTAATGCAATTCAGCTGGGGTTAAGAATTAACTGGGCTGGGGGGAGAAGTGTCGGCGCAGGGGTGTGCCTGCAGCCCTGTAATCCCCTGTGGGCTCTGCAAGCTGCTCCAGGATAAGAGGATCATTCCTTCCGGCTCTCTGCCTGTAGGATGGGGGGCGTGGGGGCTTTGGGCAGAGCTGTGCCTTGCTCAGCAGGAGGCCACAAACCCCTCTGCAGCAGTCCCTGCGTGCTCCTGTTGCACTTTGTGTGTCTGTGAGTATAAGCAGATTCAGCACAGCGATGGGCACGCAAAGAACGTGGTCCCATCTAGAGCAGGGCCACGTTCCAAAGCCAGACTTGTAATGTTCTCCCAAACCCAGTTTTCTCCTCTGTAGGAGTAGAAGGAACTTGAAGCTGGCCTCTTCCACATCACTTCAGCATAGGGAAGATCAGCCTTTTCCTATGCGTGCAGTGGAAAGGAAAGGACAAATGGTTCTGCAGCACTGGTTGCAGGAGGCTGAAGTGCCACGCTGCGCTCTGGCGCTTTGTGTTTGCTTCCATTCAGATGTGTGTGTGCATGGTGCAACGATTCCAGTGGCTGTGCTGCAGATTACACTGAGGAGGGACCTCTCTGGCTGCTACAGCTGTGACAGCAGCTCTTATGGTCCTCTGTAGAAGAGCAGCAGCCAGAAAGCAAAAGCAGCCCTGGCTGGGAGGTTCTGCAGGTTATCCTCACACCTTGCAAATGAGTTCCAATTCAGTTCCAATTAGGCGCGTGCTTGTTTTGCTGGAGGTGAGCTGTTCACCATTCATTGGCTCACTGACTGCTGCCCGGCCAGTTTCACTTTTTCTGTAGGCAGATGTACAGAGAGCAGGCGTAGAATCACGGACAGGCCGTGAAGCCGTTCAGAGTGTTCCCCTGTTGTTGCCTGCTGAGGCAATAATTGGCTGCGTGCCCAAAAGCCGTAAAGCAAAAGGAAATGTAAAAGCGAAGCTCAGCGTTTTAGCTCTGAGCAAGGTGCTGTTCTGCACGAGCTTCAGTCCAGTGCACGTCTGTACGCGGGGAGGGCTCAGCCTGGAGCCTGGCTGCTCGCTGCCCACAGCTGCTGGCTGTGCAGGGACGGAGGCTGAGGTGGTGTTAATCTCCCTCAGACGTTCTGGCAGTGAAAATGAAGAGGTGTGCATTTCTACGTTGCTTTGATTGCTGTTGTTGTTGCTGTCGTCATTGGCACCTAACTGAATCTGACAGAAACCAGAACAGCAGTAACCAACAGGGGTATGACAGAGCCATGCTGCGTTAGATCTGTGAGGGTTCTTTTTAAGTTCTGTGGGTAATTCTTGTTTTTCTTTCACAGGATGCAGTCGTTCTGGTCCAAGGAGAGGAGAGCTCTCCTTTTGGCAGCATCCCCTCTGCCCCATGCAGTGTGCTCCAACCCCTGGGAGCTTTTGCTGCTCCCTGTCCGTTTGTTTGGCAAAGCTGCATCGCTGAAAGATGAATTCTGCAGCGCGGCTTCATCTATCAGGCAGCCCTGAAAGGCAGCAGCTCCTGGGATGCAGGCATGGCTTGTTCCAACAAGTTCCTCCTGCTCTATCTAATCCCAAATAGCTCTTGCTGTGTCTCCCTGCCTGTCATGTCCA